ACAATTCATCTTGTTCTTTATGTTCCTTTTTTTTAATATAATCTTATTTCATTCATAAGCTGTTAGAACAATATAATAGGATTGTTCTGTTACCAGAACTCTTTTTGCTATACAGGCCCCTTCTATGAAGATGCCTCTGGTTCTTGGTAAACTGGACCACAATCTCTACAAGCTCCTACTTCCTCCTGTTGCTTCTCCCAGTACTACATCCAGTTACTCTTCTAGTATTACTTCCCCTGTTATTCTCCCTGTTATTTCCCATGTTTGTGTTTTCCATGAGATACAAGCAAATATAAAGAATGTCAATGTTGCTGATGCTGATGAAACACATGTAAATACTGATGCAATGCAATTCTAAATAATATCAATAAAATGGATGTGGTTTGGCATTATAGGTTTGGGTATATTCCTTTTTCTAGAATGAAACATATCTCTATGCTTGGTTCGCAGTTATCTTCCAAATAGTCTTTTTCTTTCCCAATATATCCACTAGCCAGACAAACAAGATTACCATTTTCTGATAGTAGTATACAATCCACAAGGCCTTTTCAGTTGATCCACATTGACACCTGGGGTCCATATCACTCTCCTACCTATATTGGCTTCAAATATTTTATGACCATTGTTAATAACTTTTCAAGAGCCATTTGGACCCACCTAATGGGAGCCAAAAGCAATGCTTTTGACCTCTTAAAAGCCTTCATTGCTATGGCTGAAACTCAATTCCAATTGAAAGTTCAACATGATAATGCCTTAGAGTTGGGATCCAGCACTCTTGGATCAAATTTTTTTTTTCTGAGAAAGGTATATTGCATCAGACAACATGTCCTCACACTCCACAACAAAATAAAGTTGTGGAAAGGAAACACAGACATCTTTTAGAAACTGCTAGAGCTCTTTTTTTTCAATCTGGTCTTCCTCTTAGATTTTGGGGAGACTGCATACTCACAGCCACCTACTTGATAAATAGGTTTCCTTCTAGGGTAATAAAGGACAAGAGTCCCTATGGGATCTTATATAACAAATTCCCTACATACTCAAATCTTTGAGCTTTTGGCTGCTTATGTTACTTAACTATTCCAAAACCTCACAGAGACAAACTGCAGCCTAGGGCCATTCCCTGTGTGTTCATTGGTTATCCCTTTGGGAAGAAAGGCTATAAGCTGTATGATTTACATAATAATGTCTATCTTATCTCCAGAGATATTATATTTCATGAACATGTTTTTCCTTTTGTTAAATCTGGATCTTCTTCCCCTACCATGTCAAATTTGCCATTTTCTGCCTGCTTTGATCACACTGTTAAGCAACATTCTTCACTCTCCCATGATCTATTTTACCCTATCCCATCAGCAACATCCCATGCTTCTCCTCATCCCTCTAATCCTGCTCCTTTTGATTCTGCAATACCTCTGAACAACATCTTTAATCTCCCTGTTTCTTCTAGTCCCAACTCTCCTACTTCCTATAATCTCCCTTTTTCTTTATCTGAATCTGATTTCCCTCCTTTAAGGAGATCATCTAGGACTCACAATCTTCCTTCTTATATGCAGAATTATGTCTGTACTCTCCCTAATCCTAGCTCCAGGTCTGCTAATTCAACTGTTGTGTCTACTTCTAGTGAGCATTATGCATTTGAGCCTACTACTTATTCTCAGGCAGCAGTTATCCCTGAGTGGCAGAATGCTATGAGAAAAGAGTTTGAGGCATTGGAGACTAATGGTACTTAGGACATAGTTGAGTTACCCAAAGGCAAGAAACCAATTGGCTGCAAATGGGTATACAAAATTAAGTGCAAAGCTGATGGGAGTATAGAAAGATATAAAGCTAGGCTTGTGGTTAGGGGTGATACACAAGTTGAAGACATAGATTTTCATGAAACCTTTTCACCTATAGTTAAAATGTCTAATGTTAAAACTTTGATTGTTGTAGCTGTTAAAAGAAATTGGCCACTTTTCCAACTAGATGTTAATAATGCTTTCTTGCATGGGGACTTAGATGAAGAAGTTTTTATGAAGCTCACATCTGGTCTTTCAATATCTACTGCATCTTCTGCTTCTACTTCCACTCCTTTGGTCTATAAACTGAGAAAATCTTTGTATGGTTTGAGACAAGCTTCAAGGCAATGGTGTGCCAAGTTGTCTCAATCTTTGTTCTCTAGAGGTTATGTGCATTCTTTCAATGATTATTCACTTTTTACTAAGGGTTCTGGTGATGCCTTAGTACTCTTAGTGGTACATGTTGATGATATCATCATCACTGGGACATATATGTGTGAGATTGATGTTGTGAAAAGCTTCCTCCATGATCAATTTAAGATTAAAGATTTAGGCCATCTTAACTATTTTCTGGGTATTGAAGTGTTGTATTCTGAGGGTGGGGTGTTGATGCATCAGAAAAAATTTGTGCATGATCTTCTCAAAGAGCTCCACTCCTATGATTTTTCTTCAGTTATATCTCCCCTTGAGATGCATGACAAGTTGCAGGCTGATCATGGTGATCCCCTGCCCAATCCTGAGACTTATAGGTGTTTAGTGGGTAAACTCAATTTCTTAACCCATACAAGACCTGATATTTGCTTTGTAGTGCAACATTTAAGTTACTTTATACAGAAGCCTTGCCTTCCTCACATGCAAGCTGCTTTACGTTTGCTCAGGTATTTCAAGGGTACTCTTGATTTTGGGATTTTTCTACAGTAAGTTTCCCGATCTTTCTCTCAGTGTATATTGTGATAGTGATTGGGGTTCTTGCCCGGACAGTAGCAAGTCCATCACTGGGTTTTGCATTCTATTAGGGGGATGTCTTGTCGGCTGGAAGTCCAAGAAGTAATCTGTAGTCTCTTTGTCATCTGCAGATGCCGAATACAGGTCTATGAGTAAGGCCACTGCTGAAATTACTTGGGTTTGCAGGCTTCTTTCTGATTTTGATATTGTCTTTTCTTCTCATGTTACTCTGTTTTGTGATAACCAGGCAGCCATCCACATTGCTAAGAACCCTGTCTTCTATGAGCGCACCAAGCACATTGAGTTAGATTGTCATTTTGTTCGCACCAAGTTGAATGAAGGTCTGCTTCAGCTACTTCACACTTCCAGTGCCAATCAACTTGCTGATATGTTCACTAAACCGTTGGGGGGAGCTATTCTTCATCTGCATCTTCACAAGTTGGGGGTTATCTCACCCTCCAACTTACCGGGGAGTGTTGAGATACAAGCAAATGATATCACTTAACCAATTGGGCTAATTTCTTTCTTTTACTATTGGGTCCAGAAGCCCACATTGCATTTATTTTAGTCTGTAGTGTAATTAGTGGACTGGCCCACTTATAGATAGGAGGAACAAAATATTTTGTAGGGCTAGATTTTTATATTCGGACTTTTGAGCAAAATAGAAAACCTAGAAGCTTCCGTCTCTCTCTCTGAACTCACTATGAGCTCAAATAATCTTCAATAATTTTGCTCGTCAATCAAGTTTTAACAAGTATAATTGTGACTTGCACTTTTTCAGAATTTTTAATGAGGTCCAACAACAAACCACGATAAGATATTTCAACTCAATTAACCTCCTTCCACTAAGTACGACCAATATCTGATCTGCAGATATGTACAAACTCTTGTATTTTCACTAGCCTGATCTCTGTATTAAGCACAAAAACATGCAGACTTATATCAAACACTTCTGTTTCATGGTTTAGTAAGAAGCTGTAACAATCCTATTCTAGTTTGGTTCGCTTATAGCTCAGCGTGTCAATTTGTAGGGAGCACCAGAATATGATTCCTAGTGAAATCACACAATTTATAATTTTCTTATGAATTATGTAATATCAATATGGATTATAGACGTACACTATAAAAGAAACACCAGAGATTAGAATTCTAGTAATATTTTTGTTCTAAAATATGACTAACAAGTGTATGAGGCGAGAACAACCCTCGAGAGAATCTAGGATTAATTAGGAAATTTTGAGGATTTACATTACGAATTACACACAATTGCACAATAAACTATGGGAAGAGCCCCATATGTTTGGTTTTGTGCGGCCGGGGAATACAACTGACACTTAAAGCATAGGTCTGGTAGAACAAGAGCCTAAATGCCCAATAAAGTGTTACGAGTGCCTCGCCCCGGAGTAAGTCCTTATCATTCCTAATTCTCCCTTTTAAAAACATCGTTTAACCACATGAGATTGTTCAGTAAATACGGGCCGAGTCCCTATCTGTTTGCAACATTGTGTACGCGGTACGCCACTTTCAGATTTCTGTTTCTACATTGTCAAATATAACAATTTAGCACCTTATTATTTGAGTTAATTTTTAACATGTCAATTTTCAGGACTAAAAATGACTGCCACTGTACAATAGTTTTCTGTTAATTGTTGAAATTTACAGTCTTTATTTTTAAACAATTCACTCCTTTTTAATTAAAATTAACTATTGATCAATGAGAAAAGGAAAATGAAAAGCGGTTCTCAAACGCAAGAGAGTTAACATCATTTTCCTCTTTCAACTTTAATTTGCTTTAAAAATATATATATATATATATATATATATATATATATATACATATTTTCCTGTGCTTATCTCAATTGAACATTTTAAATACTTATTTTACCTTCTAAATTATCAATATTTATGTTTTTTAACTCTACTTTTTCGTGAAGTGGTCTCTAGATATTTTTCCTTTGATTCTCCTATACCTTTTTCCTTTATTCGGAATTGAGCTCTCTAGAAATTCTAATCTTTTGCACATTTTTATTTTCTTAACGCAGTCCAATAACAATCAAAGATAAGATATTTTTACTCCATTAACTTATCCCGATTCTCCTTCCAAGAGCGTGGCCTAGAAGCCAACACTTTTAATTTTCCACTCCTGCCCTACTCACATCATGTCATCTCTGTTTGACATGCAACCAAGCACGAGTAATATCTAATCTGCAGATATTTACACACTTTGTATCTTCACTTCCTTGACCTCTATATAAAGCACAAGAAGCAAGCAGAACTGTATCAAACACTTGTACATCTTCCAAGACAGAAGGAAACCGGTCTCATCATTTCCATTTCTTTATCAATTATTCTTGAACTACAAGATGGAAGACAGTTCAAATCTCAATCGCCACCGTCAATCCTTGGAAAAATGCCGCTCCCGTAATTCTGCAGCCACCACTAATAATTGCCGCAGCCACCAATATAGGGATGACGACTTTAGTATCGAAAAAGGTGACTCTGAGACGTGGAATAGTTTTTCAAACAAATACAGACAAGTGCAATCGGTGTTGGATCGAAATAGATTACTGATTCAACAGGTTAACGAGAACCATCAATCAAGAACGCACAATAGTATGGTGCAGAACGTGGGCCTAATTCAGGAGCTGAACGGAAACATATCAAAGGTTGCTTCTCTCTATTCTGATTTCAATACCGACTTCAGAACCATGGTTCATCAGCGGAAGAACGGCGTTTGAGAGCCACTACAGAGGCCTTTTAATATTTAATCTATATTCAATAATGTATTAACTTCCTTTCTCTCTCCAGCTAATTGGATTAAAAATTCTGGGTTGAAATATCGGAAATAACTACTCTCAGTACACTCACACGTACTGTAAGTCTATCTAGCAGCCATGATCTCAAGATCACAAAACCCTCCAGTAGCTCAAAACTAATATTTGTCATATATTCATGTAAACCCCAGATGGTAATCACTAATCCAAACAAAAACCACACCCAAAAATTCACAAACTCAAGCAACCAAAGTGCCACAAAACTACCGGATTCAAGTGAAACCCAACTGTGTTTAACCTAAAATTAGACTAATAGGTTAAATCAATTAAATTTATATTTTAGAGCACCAACAACCGATTTAATTCACTTTTCCAAATAAGAACAGTATGAAATAATGTAAACGATGACAAAATAGCAAAATAATAAAGTAAAAGAGAAGAGAATTCTTATTGACTAGAATAGCTCCTCTTTCATATCTCTTGAATCTTGAATTGCCAGAAATATAATAATATAATTTTGGGACCAGAATGATAATTTTCAGATGAGCTACGATTGAAGGGAAAGAGAGGTTTAAATAGCAAATTTACTCATAATTGTTCCCCTATTTGTCACGACCCAAACCCATGGCACGTTTGCCAGCTTATTTGTCTTTCTGGACTATATCACCTCGAGCCACAAAAGCGCGCGTACTATATGAACTTGTGTCATGATGCCTTATAAAGCTCATCACTTTCCTCTCCCATCCCGATGTGGGATTGACCTAAGGTGATATGTCCACCCCTTCTTCATAAGCATGCCAGCCTAGAAGCCTGTCAGTCCTACTTGACCCGCCCTCATCAGCCCTCCTCTGTCATAGGCATCAAATTCACCACCTTACCTCGGGACTCAGCGACCTCACTGAGGTTTGCCCCGTTATCTTCTCAAAGATGTTGGATTCGCGTAAACTCACTTGATCGCTGAGGTTTGTCCCACCATCGTACCGAGGGAGATTCGGTTCTGAGATCATATTTGTGATGATCCAAGCCCATGGCAGAGGGCGGGTCACACAGGACTTGTAAGCTTCTAGGCTGGCATGCTTCTGAAGAAGGGGTGCGCATGTTACCTTAGGCAAATCCCATATCGGAAAGGGATATGAAAGTAATGAGCTTTATAAGGCATGACACAAGTTTACATGGTACATGTGCTTTTGGGTTCGAGTTGGCGTAGTCCAGAAAGACAAACTCGTGCGGGCCTAGGCCCAAAGCAGACAATATGTGCCATGGGCTTGGGTCGTGATACTAATACCACGTTTGCCCGTTACAGTTATTAATTAATTGTATTCTCCGTATGTTACACTGAGAATCTGTAACTCACTGAGAATTTATTCCTACTCCCATTTTATTCGGGATAATCGAATTCTCCTCCTTTCCGTATCCACCAGAGATTTTTCGTATCGAATTCAGCATAGTTTTGTTATGATCAGTTACGATCCCAGTATATCTGGTATCGAGTTGATAGAAACTAGGAGTCCACCAAACAATAAAGCGAACCAGGTCAGTAAACAAGAAGTAAGTAAAGAACACGTGATGTTTACGTGAAAAACTTCTTGCTCAAGGGATTAAAAATCACGACCTACCCTACTAGGATTTCAACTCCACTAAATTGAGAGAACTTCAAATTACAACATATTTCAATCTAGAAATTAAACTATTAGTCCCCCATCCCTTACAATAATTCGATTGTAATCCCTTTGCAATAATCTATTACAAAGCAACACTCATGACTAACTCTAGTCAAATAACTAAAATAATAATGGCTAAATGATGTCCTACCAAATACTTCTAGAAAGTCGTGGAGGTTTAGAGTAGAGAACAAAAGACAAAAAATCAACAAACATAAGGACTCACGACATCTTCAGTGTTGGGATCCGGTCCTTGATTGTAGCGGCTTTGTTCTTGAATGCACCTAGAGAAAACAATGATGGCTGGCACTTGAGATGATAGGTTATTCACATTATCAAGTGTTAGGTCAACCTTTGTGTAATGTTGTTTATATATGAGTGATCATGTGTGAAGAGATAAAGACATTACACCTTTTGGTTTGGCCTTTAGCAGCAGCGGCTGTGCCACTGCACTGCTGCCAGTCGGTACAGGAAGACATCTTTACAACTGTAGAGTTGACTGTACGACAGATGAGGAACTGATCTTAAATTCACTCCTAAATGAAAATGAAATTGATTAGAAAAGACTCAATTTAAGTTATATATACTAATATTATAATGTAATTTTTTTTTGCACCATCAATGTTATTTAACGTCTTATATATGCAAGTCACGTGCTGTTTATTTTCGAACAAATTAATTAATAATATTGAATAGATTTAATTACCTGCAATTACATATTAAACAATTTAATGATATAAATAGCTTTTACACAGAGAATTTAAAATGAAAAAAAAAGAGGTAATGGTCAAAGATTCACCATGGGAGGAAAGGGAAGAGCGTACGGTTTTCGTTGATAGCTAATATTTTTCCTATGATTCCTCCCTATGACTAAGGAAAACCTTTATTCTGGATTGAGTTTGTGGTGGTATAATTGTGACCTTTATTCAAAATTTTTAATGAGGTCCAACAACAAACCAAGATAAGATATTTCAACTCAATTAACTTATCCAAGTTCTCCTTACACTAAGTACGACCAATATCTGATCTGCAGATATGTACGGACTCTTGTATTTTCACTTCCCTGATCTATGTATCAAGCACAAAAACATGCAGACATATCAAACACTTATGTTTCATGGTTTAGTAAGAAGCTGTAACAATCCTAATTCCAGTTTGGTTCGCTTATAGCTCAGCGTGTCAATTTGTAGGGAGCACCAAAATTTGATTCCTAGTGAAATCATACAATTTATAATTTTCTTATGAATTATGTAATTTCAATGTGGATTATAGACAACCTACACCATAAAAAACACCAGAGACTAGAATTCTAGTAACATTTTTGTTCCAAAATGTGACTAACAAGTGTATGAGGCGAGAACAACCCTCAATAAAATCAAGGATTAATTAAGAATTTTTGAAGATGTACAATGCGAATTACACACAATTGCACTATAAACTATGGGAAGAGCCCCATATGTTCGGTTTTGTGCGGCCGAGGCATACAACTGACACTTAAAGCATAGGTCTGGTAGAACAAGAGCCTAAATACCCAATAAAGTGTTATGAGTGCCTCGCCCTGGAGCAAGTCCTTAGCAGTCCTAATTCTCCCTTTTAAAATATTGTTTAACCACATGAGATAGATCAGTAAGTACGGGCCGAGTCCCTCTCTGTTTGCAACATTGTGTACTCGGTACGCCACTTTCATATTTCTGTTTCTACATTGTCAAATATAACAATTTAGCACCTTATTATTTGAGTTAATTTTTAACATGTCAATTTTCAGGACTAAAAATTATTGCCACTATACAGTAGTTTTCTGTTAATTGTTGAAATTTACAGTCTTTATTTTTAAATAATTCACTCTTTTTTAATTAAAATTAACTCATGATCAATGAGAAGGAAAATGAAAAGCGGTTCTCAAACGCAAGAGAGTTAACATCAATTTCCTCTTTCAACTTTAATTTGCTTTAAAAATTAAGTACCTACCTCAATTTTGAATGATATATATTTCCCTATGTTTATCTCAATTGAACACTTTGGGTGTGTTTGATATAAAGGAAAATATTTTCCTTGCAAAATATAAAATGAGTGATAAAATCACTCATTTTTCCTTATTTGATTTGTGAGTAAAAATATTTTTCGAAAAATATTTTTTAGTGTTTGCTTAGAGATTATAAAATATTTTTTAGGAAAATAATTTTTTTGCTACTTTCCTTTCTCTCTCCCCCTCCCCTCCAAACCCCGAAATCCCAAATACCCAACGTTTTGAGTACTCTATTTTTTTCAAGAGTTTACTTATTCTTTTAAAAATTCACACAAACCCAAAGTGATTAATGTGATGTTTTACTAATTCACGCAAAAATAACGTTAAAATTTGTGCTACCTAAAAAGAAAATACTATTTTTTTGGTTGAAAAACAAAGTATTCTTTCTACAAAATAAAAAAGTACTCATTTTATTAAAAAGAGAGAAAATACTTTTTCTACATCATAAAAAAAAATACTCATTTTGTTGAAATGAAAGAAAATGCTTTTAACTATATCATTTTGTTGAAATGAAAGAAATTACTTTTTTACATCATAAAAAGAAAGTACTTTTTTTGTTGAAAATGAAAAAAAATATTTTTTCTACGTAATGAAAAGAAAGTACTTTTTTGTTGAAATGAATGAAAATACTTTTTCTAAATCATGAAAAGAAAGTACTTTTTTTTATTGAAATGAAAGAAAATACTTTTTCTATATCATGAAAAAAAATACTTTTTTAAATTATGAAAAAAATAATCATTTTGTTGAACTTAAAAAGAAAATACTCTATCTACAACATGAAAAGAAAGTACTCTATCTAAAACANGGGTTGATGGGGATGAAGAATATGTTGGAGAAGGTTGAAGAAGAAATTTGAAAAATATTTTCCCTTCTTTTGATAGGGAAACCATTTTCCTCCAATTGTAGGAAAATGAGTTCATGAGGAAAATATTTTTTAAAATATTTAAACCAACCAAACATGAGAAAATTAAAAAATATTTTTCGGAAATATTTGTCCTTCATACCTAACACACCCTTTAAATATTTGTTTTTGTTTACCCTTAAAACGGATAACAATTAAATTTATACGCAGTTTTAAGGATATGTGGATTGATTCAACACAAGTAACCAAGAATGTTAGATAAACGAATTAAAGATAAAATGAATAATCAAACCAGTTGTGACGTTAAGGCCGGGCACAAATTTAAGCCGAAGAATAGTTTTATCCTCGACCGGACCCTCGATTCGAAGCCAAATGTATATGAAGAACTATGATTAAAATAAGAACTTTTCAATAGCTAGAAAGCAGAGAAATAGGTTTGTATTGCCTTGATATGCGTGTTACAATGTGTCTATTGAATAAAAAGCTTCCCCTTTATATAGTAGGAGAGTTTCATCC